TTTTCATTTTTAATCTTTTATTTTTTTAAATATTCTATTTTTTTCGGTTTCTTTAAGTTAAAATTTTTTTTTTTTTTGCTATTTTTTTTATTGTATTTATTTATATCACCAATAATAAACAGTAAATTAATAAACATTTACCTGAAATTTTTTTTATATTAAAAGACTCTATGATCGACGATAATAATACTATTATTGTTGGGATTAAATTTTTTTACAAAGTAGCACAAACTATCTTTTATACTAAAGAATCTACATGCACTTTGCCTAATAAGATGTTGGCTCAGATCAACAAGCTGCAGCAGAATTTAAAGTATATATAAGGTTAACCGGTTAGCCGTTCAACAAAATTGTCTATCATTTTCTTTTTCATTTCTTTTACTTCTTTTTTAAAATTTATAAATTATGGATGATAATAATCTTTTACCAAAATTATTTCAAAATTTACTTGAAATTTTAAATGATAATGAATATTATGATGTTACTATTGAAGTTGGTAATGATCCTTATATAAAAATATTTCGTGCTCATATGGTTATCTTACATTATCGTTCCACGTATCTACGAAGAATTTTGTCAACAAATAAAAAGAATAATGATGGGACTTTGGTTCATATAAAATTACCAAATATTTTACCTGAGATTTTTCAAATAATTTTAAGGTAATAATTAAAATTAAATTAAAATTACAAAATGAATATACTGTATAACAACATTTAAATTTACGTTTTTCTATTTTTTTAGATATATTTATAGTGGAAGAATTTCCTTGGAGGAATATGATACTTCGGACATAATTAAAATCTTAATTGCTGGGAGTGAACTTGGTCTTCAAGAACTAATCACCTATATACAATCCTTCTTGATTAAAACTAAGGCAAATTGGATGGAACAAAATTTTAATTTGATATATCAAACATGCTTTGAGAATGATTCTTTTATGGAACTTCAAAATTTTTGTACTAATTTAACCTCTAAAGAGCCAGATAAAATATTCAAATCTCTAAATTTTGCTTCAATTCCAGAAAAACTTTTGATCACAATTATTCAAAGTGATAATCTTCAAATGGAAGAAATTCAAGTATGGAATCATGTGCTTAAATGGGGACTTGCTCAAAACCCAGAACTTTCTTCGGATCCTTCAAATTTTTCAAAAGAAGATTTTAATACTTTGAAAAATAGTTTACATAATTGTATTCCGTTTATTAGATTCTATAATTTAACTTCTGATGAATTTTCAAAAGAAATATTACCTTATAAAAAAGTTTTACCAAAAGAATTATATAAAGATTTATTAAAATATTTTTTGGATTCTAACAACCAATCAATTAAGCAATCAAAATCTCGTATGACTACTAGGAAAAATAATATTGATTCCAAAATCATTACAACTCAACACGCTGAATTAATCTCGAAATGGATTGATAGATTAAAAATTACGGATGAGATAAAAACTGCATACAAATTCAATTTGTTACTGCGTGGGTCTCGTGATGGATTTACAGTTGAAAAATTTCATGAAATCTGTGATAACAAATCTCATACAATAACAATTATTAAGGTGAAAAATAGTAATGAAATTCTTGGGGGATATAATCCAATTGAATGGGAATCTAATTACTATGGTAATTTTGGCACTACTAAGGATAGTTTTATATTTTCTTTTAAGAACAGTGGTGATATTGAAAGTTATATTTTAAGTCGCGTGGAAAATGAAGAATTTGCTATACACAACTATCGAACTAATGGTCCAAGATTTGGTGATGACCTTGCTTTAATTAGTAACTATGGTTTTTGTGAAAATAATCATTATGAAAATCAAATCAGAGAAACGACTAATGATTTTTTTGTGGAAGAATATGAAGTGTTTCAAGTTATAAGATAAATTAGTTTGTAATAATTGATGTGGTTGTTTTTTTTATTTCTTTTTAAAAAATATACAAACACATGATATAATCTCCAGAAATCAGAATAATGATTAGAAAAATGTTTTATGTTATCTTAATGATTGATTGACTAGTTTTTGTATGCAAAAAATTAATTCATGACCTTTTATTTTTAATCAAACCTTCTTTATTGGTTAAAGAACATCAGTTATATATTACAATTACCTCTTGACAAAACAGTGGTAATTTTTCATATTACATTTGTGATTTTCATGAATTTCGCCTCAATTTTACATAAATTAATAAATCATAAATTTTTTAATATTAAAATAATGTTCATTGATAATTATTCAGTAAAAATTGAATTTGATTACTTAAATTTTATTATTACTTAACAAGAAAGTAACCATCAATATTTGTCAAAACAAATTAATATATGGAAAAGTATAGTATTTATAACGTTTTTTTTATAGCTTATCATAGTATACAATTTGACTTAGATTTACAAGATGGCATGATTAAAGGTAATAATTACCGTATCCATCGTAAAATAAGCAACCCCGAAAATATATTTTAAACTTTTATAATGATCCAAAATCAGGATGTCGCGATCAAGTAGTCGCGGATACTGCAAAAAATGAAAAATTGGAAAATTTTAGATGATTGTATCGGAAATTTAATAGAACTTCCGCTCAAGTAATTATTTATAATTTATATAAAGTAATTTTTTTTAATTGACGTGAAAATTTTTTTATTTTAGGTTACTTTGAATTAGGCTAGATAAATAATTGGTTCTACAACCGTTACTCAACTTGAATCTTAAAGCACTTGAATGCAAGTGAGTATGATGTTTGGTAAAAAAATGTGTTTGCGTTTTTTTTTTTTTTGGCTTATTAAATTTTTTTATTTTTAATTTTTTTAGACGTCTAAACAAATGGCAAGACTTGATGCGTTATCTAAGCTATCTGAAATCTCA